ACAGAACAATATGTCCTCGTGAATAGCATCCCCTGACATGTATAGCGAACAAAAGTCAATGCATGCGCATCTCGGCCCTCACAGCTAACGTCCATTTGGAGAGCACAAATTGATTGTTAGCAATAGCATACATTCTTAGTTTAACAGTTATCTAACAAAAGGTATTGACGTGAGTTTCTGTGCCTCTGACTCCCCACACATTGTTTTCATCATATCAATTGCGGCCGGTAATATCAAAGTCTCTGCAATACTATGTGGTTTCATAGCGTAGCGGGCCTAGCCATTTACCGTGCTGCCTTTTCCCATGATCTAAAGGCGCTCTCTGGATGAATTTTATCTTTTAGATTTGAATAATTTTCATTTCAATTTTTAAGGTTAACCACATTACATTGATTTTGAGATACAAAGACGATATTATAATTAATATACACTACCGTTCAAAAGTTTGGGGTCACTTCGAAATGTCCTTGTTTTCGAAAGAAAAGCAATTTCTGTCCATTAAAATAACATCAAATTGATCAGAAATACAGTGCAGACATTGTTAATGTTGTAAATGGCTATTGTAGCTGGAAACGGCTGATTTTTAATGGAATATCTACATAGGCGTACAGAGGCCCATTATCAGCAACCATCAGTCCTGTGTTCCAATGGCACGTTGTGTTTGCTAATCCAAGTTTATCATTTAAAAAAGGCTAATTGATCATTAGAAAACCCTTTTGCAATTATGTTAGCACAGCTGTAAACTGTTGTGCTGATTAAAGAAGCATAAAACTGGCCTTCTTGAGACTAGTTGAGTATCTGGAGCATCAGCAGTTGTGGGTTCGATTACAAGCTCAAAATGGCCAGAAACAAATAACTTTATTCTGAAACTTGTCAGTCTATTCTTGTTCTGAGAAATGAAGGCTATTCCATGCGAGAAATTGCCAAGAAACTAAAGATCTCATACAACGCTGTATACTACTCCCTTCACAGAACAGCACAAACTGGCTCTAACCAGAATAGAAAGAGGAGTGGGAGGCCCCGGTGCACAACTGAGCAAGAGGACAAACACATTAGCGTCTAGTTTGAGAAACAGACACCTCACAGGTCCTCAACTGGCAGCTTCATAAATAGTACCTGCAAAACACCAGTCTCAACGTCAACAGTGAAGAGGCGACTCCGGGATGCTGACCTTCTAGGCAGAGTTGCAAAGAAAAAGCCATATCTCAGACTGGCCAATAACAAGAAAAGATTAAGATGGGGAAAAGAACACAGACACTGGACAGAGGAAGATTGGAAAAAAGTGTTATGGACAGGCGAATCGAAGTTTGAGGTGTTCGGATCACAAAGAAGAACATTTGTGAGACGCAGACCAAATGAAAAGATGCTGGAGGAGTGCTTGATGCCATCTGTCAAGCATGGTGGAGGCAATGTGATGGTCTGGGGGTGCTAAAGTGGGAGATTTGTACAGGGTAAAAGGGATCTTGAAGAAGGAAGGCAATCATTCCATTTTGCAACGCCATACCCTGTGGACGACGCTTGATTGGAGACAATTTCCTCCTACAACAGGACAATGACCCAAAGCACAGCTCCAAACTATGCAATAACTATTTAGGGAAGAAGCAGTCAGCTGGTATTCTGTCTATAATGGAGTGGCCAGCACAGTCACTGGATCTCAACCCTATTGAGCTGTTGTGGGAGCAGCTTGACCGTATGGTACGTAAGAAGTGCCCATCAAGCCAATCCAACTTGTGGGAGGTGCTTCAGGAAGCATGGGGTGAAATCTCTTCAGATTACCTCGACAAATTGACAACTAGAATGCCAAAGGTCTGCAAGGCTGTAATTGCTGCAAATGGAGAATTCTTTGACAAAAGCAAAGTTTGAAGGACACAATTATAATTTATACTAAAAACTATTACTAGTCAATGACTACATTTCCTATTCATTTTGCAATATTTCCTATTCAAACTCATTTCATGTATGTCTTCATGGAAAACAAGGACATTTCTAAGTGACCCCAAACTTTTGAACGGTAGTATATACAGTGGGGAAAAAAAGTATTTAGTCAGCCACCAATTGTGCAAGTTCTCCCACTTAAAAATATGAGAGAGGCCTGTAATTTTCATCATAGGTACACGTCTACTATGACGGACAAAATGAGAAAGAAAAATCCAGAAAATCACATTGTAGGATTTTTTATGATTTTATTTGCAAATTATGGTGGAAAATAAGTATTTGGTCAATAACAAAAGTTTCTCAATACTTTGTTATATACCCTTTGTTGGCAATGACACAGGTCAAACGTTTTCTGTAAGTCTTCACAAGGTTTTCACACACTGTTGCTGGTATTTTGGCCCATTCCTCCATGCAGATCTCCTCTAGAGCAGTGATGTTTTGGGGCTGTCGCTGGGCAACACGGACTTTCAACTCCCTCCAAAGATGTTCTATGGGGTTGAGATCTGGAGACTGGCTAGGCCACTCCAGGACCTTGAAATGCTTCTTACGAAGCCACTCCTTCGTTGCCCGGGCGATGTGTTTGGGATCATTGTCATGCTGAAAGACCCAGCCACGTTTCATCTTCAATGCCCTTGCTGATGGAAGGAGGTTTTCACTCAAAATCTCACGATACATGGCCCCATTCATTCTTTCCTTTACACGGATCAGTCGTCCTGGTCCCTTTGCAGAAAAACAGCCCCAAAGCATGATGTTTCCACCCCCATGCTTCACAGTAGGTATGGTGTTCTTTGGATGCAACTCAGCATTCTTTGTCCTCCAAACACGAAGAGTTTAGTTTTTACCAAAAAGTTATATTTTGGTTTCATCTGACCATATGACATTCTCCCAATCCTCTTCTGGATCATCCAAATGCACTCTAGCAAACTTCAGACGGGCCTGGACATGCACTGGCTTAAGCAGGGGGACTGTTTGAGGTTGTGGACAGGTGTCTTTTATACTGATAACAAGTTCAAACAGGTGCCATTAATACAGGTAACGAGTGGAGGACAGAGGACCCTCTTAAATAAGAAGTTACAGGTCTGTGAGAGCCAGAAATCTTGCTTGTTTGTAGGTGACCAAATACTAATTTTCCACCATAATTTGCAAATAAATTCATCAAAAATCCTACAATGTGATTTTCTGGATTTTTTTTTCTCAATTTGTCTGTCATAGTTGACGTGTACCTATGATGAAAATTACAGGCCTCTCTCATCTTTTTAAGTGGGAGAACTTGCACAATTGGTGGCTGACTAAATACTTTTTTCCCCCACTGTGTGTGTGTGTGTGTGTGTATGTATATATATATATATATATATATATATATATATAAATATAAAACCAGTCAAATGTTGACACACCCACTCATTCCAGGGTTTTTCTTAATTTTTACTATTTTCTACTTTGTAGAATAATAGTGAAGACATCAAAACTATTAAATAACACATAGTAACCAAAAAAGTGTTTAACAAATCATAATATATTATATATTTGAGATTCTTCAAATAGCCACCCTTTGCCTTGATGACAGCTTTGCACACTATTGGCATTCTCTCAACCAGCTTCATGAGGTAGTCACCTGGAATGCATTTCAATTAACAGGAAATGTCTTTCCTTCTTAATGCGTTTGAGCCAATCAATTGTGTTGTGGCAAGGTAGGGGGGTATACAGAAGATAGCTCTATTTGGTAAAAGACCAAGTCCATATTGTGGCAAGAACAGCTCAAATAAGCAAAGAGAAACGACAGTCCATCATTACTTTAAGACATGAAGGTCAGTCAATACAGAAAATGTCAAGAACTTTGAAAAGTTATTCAAGTGCAGTTGCACAAAAACCATCAAGCGCTATGATGAAACTGGCTCTCATGAGGACCGCCACATGAATGGAAGACAGAGTTACCTCTGCTGCAGAGGATAAATTCATTAGGATTTACCAGCCTCAGAAATTGCTGCCCAAATAAATGCTTCACAGAGTTCAAGTAACAGACATCTCAACATCAACTGTTCAGAGGAGACTGTGAATCAGGCCTTCATGGGTCGAATTGCTGCAAAGAAACCACTACTAAAGGACACCAATGAGAAGAAGAGACTTGCTTGGGCCAAGAAACACGAGCAACGGACATTAGACCGGTGGAAATGTGTCCTTTGGTCTGGAGTCCAAATTGGAGATTTTTGGTTCCAACCGCCGTGTCTTTGTGAGACGCGGTGTGGGTGAACGGATGATCTCTGCATGTGTATTTCCCACCGTAAAGCATGGAGGAGGTGGTGTGATGGTGCTTTGCTGGTGACACTGTCAGGGATTTATTTAGAATTCAAGGCACACTTAACCAGCATGGCTACCACAGCATTCTGCAGCGATACGCCATCCCATCTGGTTTGGCCTTAGTGGGACTATCATTTGTTTTTCAACAGGACAATGACCCAACACACCTCCAGGTTGTGTAAGGGCTTTTTTTACCAAGAAGGAGAGTGATGGAGTGCTGCATCAGATGACCTGGCCTCCACAATCCCCCGACCTCAACCCAATTGAGATGATTTGGGATGAGTCGGGACGGCAGAGTGAAGGAAAAGCAGCCAACAAGTGCTCAGCATATGTGGGAACTCCTTCAAGACTGTTAGAAAAGCATTCCAGGTGAAGCTGGTTGAGAGAACGCCAAAAGTGTACAAAGCTGTCATCAAGACAAAGGGTGGCTATTTGAAGAATCTGAAATATAGAATATAGTTTGATTTGTTCAACACTATTATTATTATTATTATTCTACAATGTAGAAATAAAGAAAAACCCTGGAATGAGTAGGTGTGTCCAAACTTTTGACTGGTACTGTATATTAAAAAATCCTCAGGATTTTGGAAATTCTCCCGCGACCCCATTTCCATATCAGGCGACCCCATTTTCATTTGCGACCCCTAGTTTGGGAATCGCTGAGTTAGAGGCTGCTCTCGCTCACCAGGAAGTGCAGAGGCAGGGATGTTCTGTCTGTATTTGTAGGCCAGCTCCCCGAAGGCTCGCAGGCCACAGCAGAAACACAGTATGGCGTTACTGTTGATGCGATAATCTGGGATACAAAAAGTGGAGAGAAAGAGAGTTACTAGTGTGTCCCAAAGTGAGTTGGAAGGACGCTCTGCACTGTCAGTAGGACTGAGAACCATGTTCAAGATTGGCAGCTTAAAGGTGGTTACAGCTCATCGTTTTTGCAGTTACGAGATATGGCGATAAAAGACCGGGAAATGGTGTCTCAGGAAGCACATTTATATGACGTAGAACTTTTCTGAGATGTGCAACTGCAAAAAAGACAACCTGGAATGCTTCAATCTCAAGTTTTATGTGAGGTGAAGAGGATAGTGTCAGACTGACCAGACAGATAGAAGGTTCCCTGTTGCAGGCCCTGAAGACCCTCCTGTAGCATGTCCCTCCACGACATCCCCCTGGCTGACAAGTAACTCTATAAAGGAGGAAGGATGACAGGTTATATATTAGACGTTAGTGATCACTGTAGTAGAGAAGATAAACAAATGCAAAGGAAATACATTCACTTAAACTGGGTTATGTAACCAGGAGCCGGTTTCCCAATTCCCAGACACAGATTAAGACTATTCATGGACTAAAACAGTAGAAGTACCTGGAGGATCTCTGATTCATAGTTATTGCTGTTCAGAACACCATCCAGGCATTTGTCTGTAAGGTTGAGTTCTGTGGACGAAGACATGTATATTATATTTCTCATACTGGTAAACATGTTATATTATGTGTAAGACATAGGGACGATACAGGCAATATCTTGGTACATTTCCACCACTATTGTCAATAAACTAACCGCAATGATAGTGTTACCTCAGGAATCCCTCAAAAGCACTGTTTAACTAAGCATCAAATCAGCCCAGTGCGAAGTTTCTACCTGTTTATCTACTAAGGTCAATATGGTCAAACCTTATTTGCGATCAAGTACTACAACTTGATACCAATTCTTCTAACCTTAAATTACCTTTTTGTTCAACCTTGAATGCTTTAGTTACCGTTGAAAATATTAGTGACAAACTTTGAAACAGTGGAAGTGCTTAGTAAATCTAGGAGTACTAGAGCAGAGACGCACCACTGAAACGTGCTAGGCAGCCTTGACAGCCGATCCTCTGGCAGCCCCAGTACATGTGGCAGAAGGGCCGCAGGCACGCCACACCTGGCCAACACAAAGAACCACACCCATCAGCACATTCAGCCAAAGCAGCCTTGCCATTGGGACATTAACATTGACTGACAGGCCTGCGGGCCACTCACATTGCTGAGCAGAGAGATGCTGGCCAATGAGCTCGGCGCGGCGGTCTGGCATGGGCTGCAGGCAGCATGTGCAGATTACATGGCTGCCCAGAGGAGGACAGGTGTAATCCTGAGGAGCTGCAGGTGGAGGACAGGACACAGAGAGACATGTCCTCTGGGTCAAGGTCCTGAAGGCTGCACACTGTACTATCCTTACAGAATCTGCAGATGGTCAAAATAGCGCTACAAGCATTCTCTTTCATTGTCCAGGTGAGTGCAACATATTGATAGTTAATTTGATCTGTAAGTGCACTACATTGTGTTGTCATAACTCCCTAATCAACCAACACAACATAGAACGCTTACATATCAGATATAAAAGCATTACATAAATGTAATCCGTTACCATGAGCAACAGATGGGCACATAGTTCAATACCTGTAGTGGGGACATCAGAGCATGTTGATAATGCCCCGGCCCCAGGGGGTATCCCTGCCCTATCCTCAGGGGTTGGTGGTGCTGGTCCTAGAGGAGCTGGTCCTGTGGCCCACAGAACTTGGCAGACCTCCTTCCTGTAGCCTGGACACTGTCTGCACATCACAAAGGGCTGGCTGTGGACACACAACAACAGGAAGAATGTTTAATAGGGAGAAAAACAAACCACACACTAGGGTTGTTGCAGTGACCATATTACCGCCACACTGGCAGTCACGAGTCATGAAGGCAGTCAAATTCCACGTGAACGTTGAGTCACGGTAATTAGACTTCTCCAAGCTCTGATGCTGCTGATGGTCATTAGTAGCCTACCAAACTTGCTAACTGCCTAGTACTCAGCACTATTGTCCCTCTAATCACTCTGACATCAATGCAAATTGATTTATTGTGAAGGTGTAGGCTACATGTCTCCCGAGTGGCGCAGTGGTCTAAGGCACTGCATCGCAGTGCTAGCTGTGCCACTAGAGATCCTGGTTCGAATCCAGGCTCTGCTGTAGCCGGCCGCAACCGGGAGACCAATGGGGCGGCGCACAAGTCGTCCAGGGTAGGGAATGGCCGGCAGGGAGGTAGCTCAGTTGGTAGAGCATGGTGTTTGCAACACCAGGGTTGTGGGTTCGATTCCCACGGGGGGCCAGTATGAAAATAAATAAGAATAATGTATGCACTAACTGTAAGTCGCTCTGGATAAGAGCGTCTGCTAAATGACGTAAATGTAAAAATGTAAATGTACATTACATGGATTTATTAGCCTTTTTTTTATGTAGATGTTCCAAAGGTCTGCATCAGTGGCTTGTAGGCTATATGTGGAAGCCAGGAGATGCCAAATGTGTTTATGTTAATTAATGTGAGGCCGGCAGTTATTTACTTGACAATCACCGGCTGACTACATTTCGTGACCGCCACAGCCCTACCACACACTCTTGGTCACACATACGGTCACAGAAATGGTCACACAGTCACACACAGCTACTCTTATGTCTGACCCAATATCGGATGTGTCACTGTCATTGTCGGAGAGCTCAAAGAGATAATCGGAGCTGCCCTCTTCATCAGAGAAGGAACGCTCAATCTTTGGCTGCAGCATGTCCCGAGTTATCTTGTTCCGGCTGTCCATGCTCTTCAGGTCCTCCTCACTACGACACTTTTCTGTGGACACAGGGTCAACATTTCCATGATTTATTTGGGTCCATCCACACAACAAGAGATACAAAGAAAAGCCTAAAATCTGTAGATATTTGGGGCAAGGCACAAAAGACAAGGAGACACAGACAAGACGTAGACACAAATAACGAGTTTAACATGGGGAAGAGCTGGTCACTATCCCCAGTAGTGTTTATGGGGGTACAAGGGTAGAGTAGGGCAGATTGGATACAAACCTGGGTGTTGGATAAGGTAGGCCTCCACCAGGTTGTTGAGGATGTGGTTCTTGCGGATCCTCTCTACAGGGCAACGGCAGGTGGGGCAGAGAGACGAACGCTCCATCCAGTCAGAGTAACACGCAGCACAGAAGGTGTGCATACAGGGCTGCAGGCTGCATGGGGGACACACAGGGAGCTGATCACATGAACTATGAAACACGCAGTAGAGGCAGCTTTCGGTCTTATAGAACGGAATTAGAATTAGTAGGAATTATAAAATGTGTTTTGTTATTACGACTCTTGATATATTATATTTATTGAAACATTGCCATGTTCATCTACTGCGAGGAGCCACAAGCAATGAAACAAGAGGAGTGGGCCTATTTTCTAATGTAGTAGCAGTAGGTAGAGTCTTGCTGTACCTGACACAGTCATGAAGTAGGTCCTGACAGATGACACAGGTGAGGGACTCTTCCATCTTGTCAGTCTTGGCTCCTTCCACAGTCACAGCAGCTTTTCCCAACAGATCTCTGATAAGAGAAGCCTTAGCTGGGCTGGGGCTGACCACCGCAATACTGGAGGTATGTGGCAGTCCAAAGTCATAGTCCTTATCTAGGAAGGGAAAGGGGGAAACACTGTTATAATCAAGTGTCACCAACCAAGTGTCAATATCCCACAATGTAATGACACAATGCACTGACCAGCACTGTCAGTTTTCCTCCTCTTTCTCTCTGGCTCCATGTCCCCCTCCTCCTTATACAACATTGTGACTCTGTTCTGGGCTTCAGTCTGTCGCGCGTCTGTTGAGCAGAAGAGGTTAGTGTTGTGCTGCCCAGCCTTGCCATCAGCAGCAGAAGGGAGAGAGGATGCACAACATTTAGGACCCTCAGAACATGAGACAGAGAATGATCAAAAGCCCATGAGATTGGGGCAAATTCAGTTATCTGTGCCTGTCTGTGAATATGGGAAGATTTACAAGTAGTAGTGATCATAAAAGTCTGATCATAAAAGTCTGATCATAAAAGTCTGGCATAATATCAGAGGGTAGTAGGTACCTGGCGCCAGACGAAGATGGCGGCCTCGCGACTAGCTCTTAGGAAACTTTGCAGTATTTTTTTTTTTTTTTAAACATTATTAGCTCAGTAAGTGTTTTGCATCATTACATACAGCCGGGAAAAACTATTGGAGATCAGAGCGGCGGTAACTCACCAGCATTACGACCAGGAATACGACTTTCCCGAAGCAGATCCTTTGTTTGCTCTCTCCAGGGCAACTGAACTGATTCCAGCGGCTGACCCAAAACATCGCCGGCGGAGGAGAGGCACTCGGTGCGGCCTGCTGGTTCGACTTAGGAGGCGCGCACACCACCCACCGCTTCCAAGTATTCTACTCGCTAATGTTCAGTCTTTGGTTAACAAGCTCGACGAACTACGGGCAAGGATTTCCTTCCAGAGAGACATCAAGGCCTGTAACATACTCTGTTTCACGGAAACATGGCTCTCTTGGGATATTCTGTCGGAATCGGTCCAGCCAGATGGGTTCTCAGTTCATCGCGCAGACAGGAATAAATAGCTCTCCGGAAAGCAGAAGGGCGGAGGTGTGTGTTTCATGATTAACAACTCATGGTGTAATTGTAGTAACAGAGGAACTCGAGTCCTTCTGTTCATCCGACCTAGAATATCTCACAATCAAATGCCGACCGTATTATCTCCCAAGATAATTTTATTTGGTTATAGTCAGGCCGTGTATATCCCCCCTCAAGCCGATACCACGACAGCCCACAAAGAACTTCACTGGATCTTATGCAAACTGGAAACCACATATCCTGAGGCTGCATTTATTGTAGCCGGGGATTTTAACAAAGCAAATTTGAGGACTAGGCTGCCGAAGTTCTATCAACATCGACTGTTGCACTCACGCTGCTAAAATCCTCGACCATTGCTATTCAAACTTCCGGGATGGTTTTAAGGCCCTCCCCCGCCCTCCTTTCGGCAAATCTGACCACGACTCAATTTTGCTTCTCCCTTCCTATAGGCAGAAACTAAAACAGGAAGTAGCCGTGCTAAGGACTATTCAACGCTGGTCTGAACAATCGGAATCCACGCTTCAAGATTGTTTTGATCACGCGGACTGGGATATGTTATGGGTAGCTTCAGGAAATAATTTAAAACGAATACACTGAAATGGTGACTGAGTTTATCAGGAAGTGTATAGGTGATGTTGTGCCCACTGTGACTATTAAAACCTACCATAACCAGAAACCGTGGATAGATGGCAGCGCGAACCACCGCATTCAACCATGGCAAGGTGACTGGGAATATGGCAGAATACAAACAGTGTAGCTACTCACTCCACAAGGCAATTAAACTGGCAAAACATCAGTATAGAGACAAAGTGGAGTCGCAATTCAACGGCTCAGACACGAGACGTATGTGGCAGGGTCTACAGACAATCACAGACTACAAAAGGAAAACCAGCCACGTCGCCGACACCGACGTCTCGCTTCCAGACAAGGTAAACACCTTCTTCACCCGCTTTGAGGATAACACAGTGCCACTGACGAGGCCCACTACCAAGGACTGTGGCCTCTCCTTCTCCATGGCCGACGTGATTAAGACATTTAAGCATGTTAATCCCCGCAAGGCTGCCGTCCCAGACGGCATCCCTAGCCACGTCCTCAGAGCATGCGCAGACCAGCTGGCTGGTGTTTTACGGAATATGTTTACATATTCAATCCCTCCCTTTCCCAGTCTGCTGTTCCCACATGCTTCAAGATGGCCACCATTGTTCCTGTACCCAAGAAAGCAAAGGTAACTGAACTAAATGACTATCGCCCTGTAGCACTCACCTCTGTCATCATGAAGTGCTTTGAGAGACTAGTCAAGGATCATATCACCTCTACCTTACCTGTCACCCTAGACCCACTCCAATTTGCATACCACCCCAATAGATCCACAGACGATGCAATCGCCATCACACTGCCCTATCCCATCTGGACAAGAGGAATACCCATGTAAGAATGCTGTTCATTGACTATAGCTCATCATTCAACACCATAGTACCCTCCAAGCTCATCATTAAGCTTGAGGCCCTGGGTCTGAACCCCGCCCTGTGCAACTGGGTCCTGGACTTCCTGACGGGCCACCCCCAGGTGGTGAAGGTATGAAACAACATCTCCACTTCGCTGATCCTCAACACTGGGGCCCCACAAGGGTGCGTGCTCAGCCCCCTCCTGTACTCCCTGTTCACCCATGACTGCGTGGCCAAGCACGCCTCCAACTCAAATCATCAAGTTTGTAGACGACACAACAGTCGTAGGCTTGATTACCAACAATGACGAGACCGCCTACAGGGAGGAGGTGAGGGCTCTGGGAGTGTGGTGCCAGGAAAATAACCTCTCACTCAACATTAACAAAACAAAGGAGATGATCGTGGACTTCAGGAAACAGGAGGTGCACCCCCCTATCCTCATCGACGGGACCGCAGTGGAGAAGGTGGAAAGCTTCAGGTTCCTTGGCGTACACATCAGCGACAAACTGAAATGGTCCACCCACGCAAACAGTGTGGTGAAGAAGGCGCAACAGAGCCTCTTCAACCTCAGGAGACTGAAGAAATTCGTCTTAGCACCTAAAACTCTCAAACTTTTACAGATGCACAATTGAGAGCATCCTGTCGGGCTGTATCTCCACCTGGTACGGCAACTGCACCACCCACAACCGCAGGGCTCTCCAGAGGGTGGTGCGGTCTGCCGAACGCATTACCGGGGGCAACCTACCCGCCCTCCATGACACATACAGCACCCGATGTCACAGGAAGGCCAAAAAGATCATCAAGGACATCAACCACCCGAGCCACTGCCTGTTCACCCCGCTATCATCCAGAAGGCGAGGTCAGTACAGGTGCATCAAAGCTGGGACCGAGAGAATGAAAAACAGCTTCTATCTCAAGGCCATCAGACTGTTAAATAGCCATCACTAGCACATTAGAGGCTGCTGCTGCCTATTGAAATCACTGGCCACTTTAAGAAATGGAACACTAGTCACTTTAATAATGTTTACATATCTTGCATTACTCATCTCATATGTATATACTGCATTCATTTCTATAATATTCTACTGTATCTTAGTCCATGCCGCTCTGTCATTGCTTGTCCATATATGTATATATTCTTAAATCCCATTCCTTACTAGTTTTGTGTGTATATGTTGTGAAATTGTTAGATATTACTGCACTGTCAGAGCTAGAAGCACAAGCATTTCGCTACACCCGCTATAACATCTGCTAAACACGTGTATGTGACAAATAAAATTTTATTTTATTTGAGAGCTGTCCTTGAATTTGGGGATTTTTAAAGAGGTAAGGGAGAGTGAACAAAGCTGGCACAATTAAGGGGAGACCATGCTATACTGGTCCAAGAATTTGAGGGGGAAGGCGGCAGGCTTCACAATTAACCAAAACATAGATTTACTTCCCAGTCCCTGCTCCCCCCTCAATGAGCACCATAAAGAGCAAGTGAAGGCCAGGTGGAAAGCCTACCTAAGGCAGAGGAGTGCAGGAGGGAGGCTGCAGAGGAACAGGCTGTGGAGGAGGAGACTGTGTGGAGGAGGTGGGAGGAGGTGGAGGGCTTGGGTTCCTCCAAGGCCTGCTGCTCCCGTGGAGGTCCAACAAGGAATGGCTCCACAGACACACACACTGCTGCGGTAACAGGGAAGGTCTGGGCTTTCTGCTGCATTACTGAGCATCTGGTGGCACCACCTGACATGGTGAGAAAGGGTGGTAAGCAACAAACAAGCTAATTAAGAGTTAGCAGTCAAATATCACATTGATTTGGGTATTTTCTACTTACCAATTGTGTCTTGTGAGAATGTCCTCTCTGGTTTTATGGTCTGATACATGTAGGCAATGTCTATAGGAGCAAGAGATTGCACACCATTGTTATACTTTACTCACTTGAAAAAACAGACGACTCATTCTTCATGAGAAAAAAACAAAACAAGGAAATGAAACTTCAGAACTACTAAAAAGACGACACCGGGCCCATCCATATTGACTCAGAACAAATATAAAATCAGTTGAGCACGTGACTGCAAACACACAACAGATATACAACAACGACAGTATTTCATGAGGATATTCAATAAATATCAGGTCAATAAAAGTATATCAACCACATTCTACACATCAATTGTTCAAAGTGTTCTCACTTTCTGTTTCCAAGCCTGGTACAATCAGATATTCATTGCAAATAAAAAAACAACTACACAAAATAGTAAAGCTGTCAAGCAAATCAGAGTTAATCTCAAGAAAATGGAAGTGCAGTTCTTGGAGAGAGTGGTGGGCAGGAGCGAAATTGCCACCAACCTGACACACCCACTCAACCAGCAGGAGTACCAGCTCATACCTTCAGGCCGCCGATACAGAGTCCATCTTTATAAAACCCTTCACAAAACCGCCAGAGCCTAGAAATCATTTCACTCCCACCAGTATAAGTCAATTGAATAAATAACTGCTCAACCCTAACTGAATTATGAACTGTATCCACGTGTTGTCTGCTGTAGTTATTGCTTGTGATTTATGTATGCATTTATGTACCTATTGGTGATGCTGTGTTGTTGTTTGGTGAGATGCAAGACACATTTCCCAAAAAAGGGACACACAAATTATTATTATTATTATTGAGGCAAAAGTTTGTGAACAATTTATGAAATATCCCCAAAAAGGGAAAATATTACTCTTCCTTTGATAGGTCATTCTTGGCCAACTTGTCCAACTCAGTTTACACACATTATGCAAGTTCACTGTGTACAGTATGCATTATATAACCAAGTGGCAGCACTGGAAGGTACACAGGAAAACAAGTGGCCTAAAAGACCTGTATGCACTAAATCAAATCAACGTTTATTGGTCACGTGCACATGGTACAGTGAGATGCTTACTTGCTAACAGTCCTCGACAATGCTTAACAATGCCGTGCACTATGCACTACTAGGGTTGCAAAACTACCGGTAATTGGCCCAACGCTTTAACCGCTAGGCTACCTGGTGCCCTGGTCTATGGCAATCTATTGTAACTTTGGTGTGAATAACTTCACAATTTTTTAAAAATATTTATTTATATAGAATATTCATTTTTTTCATCTTTATATAAGTGTTCATATTGTCCATGACTTTCTAGTGGATACTCCATATGGTTAAAGAGAAAATTGCCTAATTAACAAAAGAAAAGCATCTAATCAACAATGGCATCATTTTCAATTAACTCTGCAAGTCTTCCAACTATTGATATTTTTTCCACAACCAGTTTGGCACCAAAACATTTACAACAAAGACATAGTAAAATAAATAAGTGTGTAAAAAAAATAAAAGATATTTCAAGCTGAAACCCTCATATTAAACACGAACGGTTTTCACTAAGTTGATGGGTTATATTTAGGATAATGCTTTGTGTCATTCTATTTGTTATATTAAAATGATCTTATTTTATATATTTTACATGTTATATAAATTCCATAAAATCCAGAAAGTTTTCAAAATTCCAGTAGTTTAGGGGTAAACTTAGAAAGTTACTATTTACATACTCTCACTTTGCAACCCTATGCATTACTCATTTATACACACTTTCTGAAGAAAATAAGGAACACGTTATATTCTTTCTACAGCTTAGCTACAATACTCCCAAAAGGGTTCTTTATACATTTACAGATGGATCTTAAATTTGATCACCCTGTTGTTGCAAGAAAATTCCTGCACAGCAGAAAATGCAAACTTGTAGTGTATTGGTGGTTTAAAAAGGCTTTAAACGTTTTTAATTTCTGCATTAAAATTTCAGACTTAATTTGCCCTAACAATAAATGCATAAACCCCTACAAAAATGACAGAGCGAAACACCCCAATCAATATTGGAAAAAACGTACTTTGCCCTGGTTCGTTTTTCCTGTATACAAAGTAGATGACGTCTCCATTCTGCAGCATATGAATCTGCTTCTTCACCAGCTTGGACATGTTAATCACTGTACCATTGGTGCTAGAGGTGTGAAAAACAAAACAAAAACACTGGTCTGTCATTGTATTCAATCAGCAGCCTTGGAAGAAATCCAAGACTAGAGAGGACTGTGTCTCAGTTTTAGCTAGCTAGAAAAACTTTGCTGCAGTTACTACTATAGTAACAATGAACAGTGCATTGATTAAATAGTAGCTTCTCTTCATGGGATATATAGGGATGGAATCGTACCCTACACTATTGAGATACTACACTGTCGCATTCCATCTTTCTATTGGAAAGGTATCCACAATATTCAGGAGCAAAACAGTTTGAGCTGCCACTGTGCTCAATGATGTAAAGCCTAAAGCTTACCGTATGCTTCCCAGTCGAAAAAGTTCACGCATATACAGTGCAAAAGTATTCACCCCCCCCTTGGCGTTTTTCCTATGTTGTTGCATTACAACCTGTAATTTAAAATGGATTTTTATTTGGCTTTCATGTAACGGACATACACAACGTAATCAAAATTGGTGAAACAGGAAAAAAATAACTTGTTTAAAAAAAAAAAATCGAAAACAATAAATAACGGAAAAGTGGTGTGTGTATATGTATTCACCCCCTTTGCTATGAAGCCCCTAAATAAGATCGGGTGCAACCAATTACCTTCAGAAGTCACATAATTAGTTAAATAAAGTCCACCTGTGTGCAATCTAAGTGTCAAATGATCTCAGTATATACAGTTGAAGTCGGAAGTTTACATTCACTTAGGTTGGAGTCATTAAAACTTGTTTTTCAACCACTCCACAAATTTCTTGTTAACAAACTATAGTTTTGGCAAGTCGGTTAGGACATCTACTTTGTACATGACACAAGCAACTTTTCCAACAATTGTTTACAGACAGATTATTTCACTTATATTTCACTGTATCACAATTCCAGTGGGTCAGAAGTTTACATACACTAAGTTGACTGTGCATATAAACAGCTTGGAAAATTCCAGAAAATGATGTCATGGCTTTAAAAGCTTCTGATAGGCTAATTGACATCATTTGAGTCAATTGGAGGTGTACCTGTGGATGTATTTCAAGGCCTACCTTCAAACTCAGTGCCTCTTTGCTTGACATCATGGGGAAATCCAAAGAAATCAGCCAAGACCTCAGAAAAAAAATTGTAGAGCTCCACAAGTCTGGTTCATCCTTGGGAGCAATTTCCAAACGCCTGAAGGTACCACGTTCATCTGTACAAACAATAGTACGCAAGTATGAACACCATGGGACCACGCAGCCGTCAAACCGCTCAGGAAGGAGACGCGTTCTGTCTCCTAGAGATGAACGTACTTTGGTGCCAGAAGTGCAAATCAATCCCAGAACAGCAGCAAAGGACCTTGTGAAGATGCTGGATGAAACAGGTACAAAAGTATCTATAGCCACAGTAAAACAAGTCCTATATCGACATAACCTGAAAGGCCGCTCAGCAAGGAAGAAGCCACTGCTCCAAAACCTCCATAAAAAAGCCAGACTTGCAATTGCACATGGGGACAAAGATCTTACTTTATGGAGAAAGGTCCTCTGGTCTGATTAAACAAAAATAGAACTGTTTGGCCATAATGACCATCGTTATGTTTGGAGGAAAAATGTGGATATATTGAAGCAACATCTCAAGACATCAGTCAGGAAGTTAAAGCTTGGTCGCAAATGGGTCTTCCAAATGGACAATGACCCCAAGCATACTTCCAAAGTTGTGGCAAAATGGCTTAAGGACAACAAAGTCAAGGTATTGGAGTGGCCATCACAAAGCCCTGACCACAATCCTATAGAACATTTGTGGGCAGAACTGAAAAAGCGTGTGCGAGCAAGGAGGCCTACAACCCTGACTCAGTTACACCAGCTCTGTCAGGGAGGAATGGGCCAAAATTCACCCAACTTATTGTGGGAAGCTTGTGGAAGGCTACCCAAAACGTTTGACCCAAGTTAAACAATTTAAAAAAGGCAATGCTACCAAATACTAATTGAGTGTATGTAAACTTCTGACCCACTGGGAATGTGATGAAAGAAATAAAAGCTGAAATAAAATCACTCTACTATTATTCTGACATTTCACATTCTTAAAATAAAGTGGTGATCCTAACTGACCTAAAACAGGGAATGTTTACTAGGATTAAATGTAAGGAATTGTGAAAAAATGAGTTTAAATGTATTTGGCTAAGGTGTATATAAACTTCCGACTTCAACTGTATACACCTGTTCTGAAAGGCCCCAGAGTCTGCAACACCACTAAGCAAGGGGCACCACCAAGCAAGCGGCACTATGAAGACCAAGGAGCTCTCCAAACAGGTCAGGGATAAAGTTGTTGAGAAGTACAGATCATAGTTGGGTTATAAAAAAATATCAGAAACTTTGAACATCCCACAGAGCACCATTAAATCCATTATTAAAAAATTGAAAGAATATTTCACCACAACAAACCTGCCAAGAGAGGGCCGCCCACCAAAACTCACAGACCAGGCAAGAAGGGCATTAATCAGAGAGGCAACAAAGAGACCAAAGATAACCCTGAAGGGCTGCAAAGATCCACAGCAGAGACTGGAGTGTCTGTCCATAGGACCACTTTAAGCAGTACACTCCACAGAGCTGGGCTTTACAGAAGAGTGGCCAGAAAAAAGCCATTGCTTAAAGAAAAAAATAAGCAAACACATTTGGTGTTCGCCAAAGGGAATGTGGGAGACTCCCCAAACATATGGAAGAAGGTACTCTGGTCAGATGAGACAAAAAATTGAGCTTTTTGGGCCATCAAGGAAAACGCTATGTCTGACGCAAACCCAACACCTCTCATCACCCCGAGAACACCATCCCCACAGTGAAGCATGGTGGTGGCAGCATCATGCTGTGGGGATGTTTTTCATCGGCAGGGACTGGGAAACTTGTCAGAATTGAAGGAATGATGGAAGGCGCTAAATACAGGGAAGTTCTTGAGGGAAACCTGTTTCAGTCTTTCAGAGATTTGAGACTGGGACGGAGGTTCACCTTCCAGCGGGACAATGACCCTAAGCATACTGCTAAAGCAACACTCAAGTGGTTTAAGGGGAAACATTTAAATGTCTTGGAATCCAATTGAGAATCTGTGGTATGACTTAAAGATTGCTGTACACCAGCGGAACCCATCCAACTTGAAGGAGCTGGAGCAGTTTTGCCTTGAAGAATGGGCAAAAATCCCAGTGGCTAGATGTGTCAAGCTTATAGAGACATACCCCAAGAGACTTGCAGCTGTAATTGCTGTAAAAGGTGGCTCTACAAAGTATTGACTTTGTGGGGGTGAATAGTTATGTACGCTCATGTTGGCTCATTTCTTGTTTGTTTCACACATAAAAAATATTTTGCATCTTCAAAGTGGTAGGCATGTTGTGTAAATCAAATGATACAAACCAGGTTGTAAGGCAACAAAATAGGAAAAATGCCAAGGGGGTGAATACTTTCGCAAGCCACTGTATTATGACTACATTTTGTGAAGTTTTGGATTTCCGGCCGCGTTTGGCAGGGTTTTTTCGGCTGTTCGAGCACACACATTTTTATCTTAAGGCTTGTCAAAGATTGGTAGCCGAAGTGTACGCCCCTTCGGTGATTGGTCAACAGTAGGGATTCTTCAATAAAGTGTTTGTTGTCATTCAACGACAGACGACTAGTTTTATTACTTCAGAAATACTGCACCAAACATCTTAGTTAGATGTAAAATTGCACGACTAAGACCCCTTCGGCAAAAACGTCAAAATTAATTATAGATTTCTTGAGTTATCTTAGATTAATTCAGACTATTCTGAGGAAGTGTACTTGTTGCCATGGCGTTTCAAGAGGGACAAACAGTAATATTGCCGCTTTTTTCTGGTTTCTTTTCAACCGAAGGTATTTTAAGGAAGTACGCGAGCACAGACATTCACGTCGCCTAGCCAAGTTCTGCTAGGAGCAAACCGAACCCATGTATGCGGACGCCTTAATGCAGTATGCGTGTACAGTAGAGAAATGCTCGTAGAGAAGATGCCTTTCACCTTGCTGACTTATTAGCGCATGGTAAAACACAACCTCTTTAATTGATGGTTAGTGCCATTTGCCAGCTGGTTGCTTTACACTGAAAATTAGACTACACTGTGATGTGCAGTGCTGGGCAGGCAGAGATATGTTCAATCCACCATGAAATACACTGATCAGTCACTACAAACAGGATTACAAACAAAGACAATCTGCATAATACATTTTCCTATAACAATAAAACATAAACCCAGGTTAAAATCTATTTAGCCTACCGGTAATTAACTAAGAAGCAAAATGCTCTACATTATCATATTATCGCATTGTTATACATTCATAATTGATCAGTTGATGCTTGACAAATGGACCTACATTGAGCCTATAGGCTATACAGTACTTGAAGAAAAAAAGAGACTCCCTTCATACCTCGTGTCCTCCAGCCACACCAACCCTGAGCTCTTATCTTGCACTATCTTACAGTGATCCCCTGAGACCAGTTTGTTAGAAGGAAAGGAAAGATCACAGCCTGGTGAAAGAAAAAGTTAAATTATGGTTAATAAAATGCAAAGAAAATCACAACATAGTCGAAGATGACTATTTTCAACATGTCTTGAAGAAGCTCGATAGGCTACTGTTTGTGCTATATTGTATGTAAAAAGCATCATTTTGTTTACGTCATGTTACTGTAAACAAGAACAGGTAGGGCCTACTCATTACCTATTTTAAAAATAGCAGGAAAACAAGTATTTAGGCAATGGCCACATGGCTGATGATATCTTCACGAGTGGGCTTGGAAATATCACATTTAGATTGTACGACTATGCTGATTTATTGTTGATGCATTCCTCTTCTTCTTTTATACCATATTGTGGGCGCTGCATAACATACTATCTCATTAGGCTCAGTCTCTTTGTACTGGAAAGCAGACTCCTGGAACTCGATATAAGAGAGCAGAAAGACACAGACAGAAACCTAGGAGATATAACCTTTCCTTGGGCAAAAAACATACAATAAACTAGCCTACTTAATATTCTGCACACGTTCTCAATAGACGGCTTTGTTATCATCAGAGGGGGTGTCTAAGTTTGGTGAACTAAAGACTAGGGGTATTGTGCCTTGAATTAACTGGTTTTTATTAAAGAGCCCAGACACTGCCCGGCTCTCACGTCTAGGATATGGTATTTGTCTATAAACATCAAGACATTTATAAACAAGATCCTCAAAACAAGCAACATACACTTAATTAAAAGTGTTCAACTATTTTTTTTTTTTTAAACACACACTTTTATGAAAAGTTTGTGTCTTATAGAAGTTATTTACACATTATGAATGTGCAAGCAATAATCATTAATATTTATAACATGGCATTTTGGTAGACAATTTATAGATAATTGTTAGTTATTGTCCTACCGCATAACTTTCTATTTCTTTCATAAATTAGCCTACAATATGGTAGCGGAGTTTCTCAACTCCACGATATGTACAAGTAGCTAACGTTACATATCATGGAGTTGAGAAACTCAGCTAACAATATGGTGAAGTAACTGTGTTAGTGTCACTGTGTGGGATAGTAATTTTACCTTTTCGTCGCCCGACAGTGCATTCCCTGTTGACAAGCAATACTTCAGATTGAGTGTCCATTTTTACTAACTTCCCCCACGGTTGACTCCTTCCACGCTTCTCCATGTCCAAAGCTGATTTGTTCCAGTTTTCTATTTTTTTATTTCACCTTTATATAACCAGGTAGGCCAGTTGAGAACAAGTTCTCATTTACAACTGCGACCTGGCCAAGATAAAGCAAAGCAGTGCGCTAAAAACAACACAGAATTACATATGGTATAAACAAAAACGTACAGTCAATAACACAATAGAAAATCTATATACAGTGTGTGCAACTGTAGTAAATTATGGAGGTATGGCAATAAATAGGCCATAATACTAAATTGTAATTATTTTGCACTAACACTGGAGTGATAGATGTGCAGAAGATGATGTGCAAATAGAGATACTGGGGTGCAAATTAGCAAAATAAATAACAATATGGGGATGAGGTAGTTGGGTGGGCTAATTACAGATGGGCTGTGTACAGGTGCAGTGATCAGTAAGCTGCTCTGACAACTGATGCTTAAAGTTAATGAGGGAGATAAGCGTCTCCAGCTTCAGAGATTTTTGTAGTTCTTCCAGTCATTGGCAGCAGAGAACTGGAAGGAATGGCGGCCAAAGGAGCTGTTGGCTTTGGGGATGACCAGTGAGATATATCTTCTGGAGCGCATACTACGGGTGGGTGTTGCTATGGTGACCAATTAGCTAAAATAAGGCGGGGATTTGTCGAACAGTGATTTATAGATTACCTGGAGCCAGTGGGTTTAATCAAATCATGATGCAATCTCCGCTTTAAAAACACGCCACTTCGATCAGTGGCAGCAAATACGTCATCCAATAATTTAACCTAACGTTAGCTAGCTAACATTACTTTAGTTGAGAAATATGGGACACTTTCTAGCTAGCCAACTACTTTTCCCTTAGCTACAGATTATCTGGTGTAGCAAACTGTAGCTAACGTTAGTTTAGCTGGGAAGTATAAACAATGAAGCAACCACCCTGTCTGGAACAAGAAACGTCAGGCTAGCTAGCTAATGTAAAACATTTGATTAACAAGGCATTGAGTAAGTTCATCTTAGAAGTAAGTCAATCAAACAACTCAATGGTGGACATGCGACAACAAGCAACTTTGTTTTCAAAATAAACCTAGCTAAAGCTTGCTACTAGTTGGCTAGCTAACGTTAGCTTGTTGCAACGCTAGCTAGCTAGCAATTAAACTCAGGTGCTAGAAAGAAATACAATTTAGCTACCTTGAAAATAGAGTTACTATACCCTCAAAAGCACGATTATTTCGTTCGGTTATTTTTGCTTGAAGATGTTTTGTCCCTTCATTTTCCAGTTTGGCGCGCACACACTAGTTCACTTCCTGGCAACCAAAGGTATTTACAGGCATCAGCTGGAGGAGGGGCGGGGAAAGTAATCTGAGAGAATGAGGTCTTCAATGTGATGCCTGCCATTCAACCACCACCACGCGAAGAAGAGAATACTTCTTCTTCTTCTTCTTCTTCTTCTTCGATGATGTTTAACGACGGTTGGCATCCAATATGTTGCATTACCGCCTCCTACTAAACTGGAGCACAACTCCCTTATATTTTGCTTGAAAAATTATATTAAAATAAAATAAAGAAATACCCTACCATCAAACACTACACTCACAAATTAAAAAAAAGTAATAAAATAAAAGAAACCCCACCCTACTCCACTGTTTAAATCTATTTTACCCTCAACCTGAAAGAATGGGACATCACCACTTAACACACCCTGTAACTCTTCTGATGTCAAGTCTTGCACACCCAAATACCTCTCTGCAGCTGCCACCCCAACCTCAATTTTCTTCGATTTACGTTCCATCCCTGCAGTACAATTAATAACCATTGCTATAAATGCTAAAAATCCAATCTTACTGAAACATATATCACTTGTTGGCCTATCCCTCTGTACTTGTACAGATCTACTACTCTCACCACTCCTCCCCCTTGACCCATCTTCCTCTACTTTCTTCACTGCCTCAGCATATGACAACTTCTGCACTACTCTTACCCTGGAAACCTCAACCTGCCTCTCTCGCACGGAACATGTCTGATCCCCAGCCCCATGGGGATCAGTGCTTTCCCCAATGCTACACATTCCTTTGTCTCATGCCCTTCTGCACACTTCTCACACCTTAGAACCTCCCTCCTACACACTGCTGCCACATGCCCATAAGTTTGACACCTGTAACACCGTAATGTGTTCGGCACATTAGCTCGTACAGGATAACTTATATATCCTAACTTCACTTTGTCGGGCAAAGACTCAACTTCAAAACTCAAAAGAACAGACAATGACTCTTCTGTTTCCCCACTCTCGCCACCCTGTTTGCGTCGCACCAAACAACGAGCATCACAAACACCGGGAATCTTCCCCTTCAGTTGGTCAACTTTTACATTTACTGCTACCTCAGTAATCACTCCTTTCAATGGTGCCCTTTTCTTGAGAACGAAACACTTCATATCTCTTGCCCCCATTTGTTTAACTCAGAGCGCCTTCTCCCTCTGACCAGCAGAAACACAAACAATTATCACTAGACCACTTCTGGTTACCCTCACCGATTCCACTACACCCAACTATTTTTTCACCCACCCTGAAACCACAAATGGATCATCCAAAAGGCAAGGGTCCACCTTTTCCACAAACTTCACTCCTACTGTCACAGACTCATCTTTATCCTGACCCTCTGTGCAATCCTCGGGCTCCGAGTACTTCACCACACCTACCACCTCCGATACTTCACCCTCATTCACTTCCATTTCTCCTCCTGTCATCAGCTCACTCTGCTTACATTTTCTACCATTCTTCTTTAACAAATCTTCTCCCTTTTTCCCGCCATTTTTAACCGACTCAAGCTCACAATCTTCCTCCCTCTCTCTCTTAGACCTCCTCTGCCTCTCTATTTCCCTCCATTCCTCCTCCGTATTCCAAGTATATGTCTCCTTATGATAATACTGCACTGACATACATTTTGTTCTTGCTTTCTCAAGGGACGCCATTTACGAGGCTCTCCAACCGAATCTTTGTCTAAAGTTCGCACCATGGGACTCTGGCATCACTGCCTAGCTCTCAATTTTCTTATCTTGTTCTTGGCTAACCCGTCCGAAAAGTTCAGCACTCTCTCGCTTCGCCACAACCTACTGCTCCCGTGTTCTCGGTCAGTGTCGCGCAATCGCCCGTCCTGTATCGAAGTCTGGCTTCCAAGAAGAGAAAATAAACACCTGCTCGTTATTTAATTAGATTAGGAATGTAGTCGTGTTCTTATTTGCAACTTTGTTTAGCTATTTAGATTTACCACTTTTCCCCCAGTAAATGCAAATCAATGTCAAAACCCTGGATATATAACCAGGGGTTCATTGGGAATTTGGAGATGAGGGAGGCCTATATGGGGGAGGGGAGGGGAAGCTAAGGTTAGGGTTAGGTTTGTTGTTGTGGTTGAGGCTAGGGTTAGGGTTGAACTGAGATGTGGACATGAAGTTAGGGTAAGGGTTAGAGTAGGGTTAGGGTTAAGGCTAGGATTGAACCGGAATGTGAACATGAAGCTAAGGTTAGGTTTAGGAGGGGTTCAGTTTGTGATGGTATCGAACCTTAGGTTGCACGAGCCTATTGCAGCTTCCTGCACTGTCTGTTTTAGGGAAAATCAGTCTGGTCTGGAGAGGCTGGGGGACCATGGGGCGGTTGTTTGCCAGAGAGATCAACGGAGTTCAAGAGCTCATAGGAGTCAGCTTTGACGGTTCAATATGAGGAAGACAAGGGCTGATGTAGTGCTAAGGGTAAACAAGTAGAATAAATAATAATAATGCATGCAAATGCATCAATAAATTAAATAATGAAATAATGAAAAATCACACCAAGGGATCAAAGGGATTACGTTTTGTGAAAATAATTGTTACGGTAAAGTGCTTAATTTAAGAATTACAAGAGATTAAAGACAAAATGTTGAGACAAAACGAGACAGGGCAACTCAATCATATTCTTTCCTGAACTTCCTTCTCCTGTTGGTGGCCCTTCTGGTGCTCCTAATTGGGCCTCCAGCCCTCCACCGACCCCACCAGGCAAAGGCTGTATATTAGTTTTTGCCATTCAAATGCCAACCCTAACCCTAGCTCCATGTCCACATCCTTTTCAACCCCTCCCCTACCTTCAACCACAACCCTGCCCCAGCTTCAACTGGGCCCCGTGTAGCTCAGTTGGTAGAGCATGGTGCTTGCAACGCCAGGGTTGTGGGTTTGATTCCCACTGGGGGCCAGAAAGAAAGAAAGAAATACATGTTTTGTATGCACTCACTAACTGTAAGTCGCTCTGGATAAGAGCGTCTGCTAAATGACTAAAATGTAAATGTCCACATCCTGGTTAAATCCTAAGGCTCAACCACAACCCTAACCCTAACCTTATCTCCAGTGATATAGTGGTAAAAAATAGGTGGGTAAACTATGATCGCAGTTCGCAGTGAATAAAGTAACGCTCCCTATACTTTCAATGCATTTTTCTGCAAAAGGTGGGTAAATCCTCCCACTACACCACTGCTTATCTCCAACCCTAGCTCCAGCTTTATCCTATTTTACAGTACTGGAGCTTGGCTCCACCTGGCTCTACCTTTGATCCAGAAGGAAAGTACAATCAAAGTAACAATGCAAAAAATTATAATATGTGTGGCACTTTATCAGGCAATGATGAATAGTACCACGCCTTAGTATCATAGACTGTCCATTTATTAGATTACATATCCCAAATCATTCCACACACCAACTGCATCTTTCAGTGCATTCCAACCCCAACCAAGACAGAACCTCTCTTTACTGGGATCAGGTGGTGTACTGACAGCCCATGTCAAGCCTATCACCAGAGGAACCTGTCGGTCGGTCGGCCTGCAGACAGCAGTGACGTGAGTTAGCGGGCCAGGCTGAGGCAGCAGCAGTCAGCTCACCTCACCGCGACGGTCCTAAGATGGATGGAGGATCCCTGAGGGTCCCCGGCCGGGTCAATGGATGTCTCTTCTCTGTCTGTGT